TTACTGTTTTCTAAAACGTGTTTGTATTTGATTATTCTCCACAGAAGTCCAGCCGCTGTTCGTGAGTAGAGAAGAGGTTCCCCCCGAGCAGCAGGAGTCGAGTCCAGTCTGCCAGTACCTCATACAGACGAAAAACGTTTCATATGCTCAGTTTGTGACACAACTTTTCAATCGAAAGGAGATGTTGTGAAGCACATGACAGTCCATACAGGAGAGAAGCAATATAGCTGCAGTGTTTGTGACAGTGTATTCACTGGTCCTCTTCATCTTAAAAACCATCCGTGTGTGGGCCGTCGGTCCTTGCAGCTTCATCAAAGCCTAACTAAACAGATGGACACAGAAGCTGATGGAAACGACTGTGGAGGACCAGAACCAGTCAGGAACACCTATTCAGATAGACATTTACAACCAGATAGTCATGACAAGACTTCACACTTCTCTGAACCTGAGACTGATTTGGAGGAGAGCAGGGAACCTCAGTCAGGTTCAAGCCCTCTTCACAATAACATTGAATGTAACACTGGTGAGAAACCATTTAGCTGCACTGAGTGTGGTAAACTATTCCTCAGAAACACAGATCTGAAGAGACACATGAACACTCATACAGGAAATAAAACATTTAGTTGTTCAGTTTGCAGTAAAAACTTTAGTCATAGCGAAAGTCTGACACAACACATGTCTCTCCATGTGGAAGAAAATGGATACATTTGCAGTGTTTGTGGCAAAACATTGACTTCGTGGCCGCAGTTAGTAAACCATCGATGTGTTCAGCGGTTCTCATCGCTTCAAAGACTTACTAAACAGAAGAATGCAGGAGCAAAGGGAGAGGACTGTGGAGGACCACAATTAGCCAGGAACTCTGATACAGTTGGACGTGTACAACCAGATATTCATGACCAGACTTCACACACAGAACCTGAAACTGATAATACTGATAGCACTCTGCAAAACCGTAAAGTACCTGGATGTGATCGGGAATGTAATACTGGAAAAACAGCAACTAGCTCCTCTGAATGTGCTACAAGCTCTGGCCCCAAGGAAACCCAAACAAGAGGGAAGCCATTTAGTTGGTCAGTTTGCAGTACAGAACTTTGTCAAAAGGAAAGTCTGACACTCCCCATGGTAGAGAAACGATACTGGTGCAAGGTTTGTGGCGAAAGCTTTACTTTGTCGAAGATCAAGTACCATCAGTGTGTTGGGCGTCAGTCCTCACAGCTTCACCAAAGCCAAACTGAAGAGAACAGAGATGTAGAGCTTCTGAAAACAGAAGTTGATGGAGAGGACTGTGGAGGACCAGAACCAGTCAGGAACTTGAATCCCGATGGACATCTACAACCAGATACTCATGACAAGACTTCACACACTGAACCTGAAACTGATAATACTGGTGATTGGGAGGAGGCCAGTGAACCTCAATCAGGTTCAAACCCTCTGCAAGACAGTGAAGTACCTGGAAATGATCAGGACTGTAGTACTGGAAAAACATCAAGGAGCTCCTCCAAATGTGCTTCAAGCTCTGGTCACAAGAGACATCTGCAGGAACACAATTATACCGTAGCAGGAGATGGACCATTTAGTTGCTCAGTTTGCAGTAAAAACTTTAACCAAAGGGAAAGTCTGACACAACACATGTTACTCCATGTGGGAGAAAAACGATACTGGTGCAGTGTTTGTGACGAAAGCTTTACTTGGTCCAATCTCAAGTACCATCAGTGTGCTGGTCGTCAGTCCTCGCACCTTCACCAAAGCCAAACTGAACAGAACAGAGATGCAGAGCTTGTGAAAACAGAAGCTGATGGAGAGGACTGTGGAGTACCAGGACCATTCAGGAACTCCGATACAGAGGGACATTTACAACCAGCGACTGATGACAAGACTTCACACTTATCTGAACTTGGAACTGATTTGAACGAGACCAGTGAACCTCAGTCAGGTTTAAATCATGTGCAAAACAATGAAATACCTGGAAGTGGTCAGGAATGTAATACTGATAAAACATCAACTAGATCTTCTGAATGTGCTTCAAGCTCTGACCACAAGAGACATCTGCAGGAACACAATTATACCCTAGCAGGAGATGGACCATTTAGTTGCTCAGTTTGCAGTAAAAACTTAAGTGGAAGGGAAAGTCTGACACAACACATGTCACTCCATGTGGGAGAAAAACGATACTGGTGCAGTGTTTGTGACGAAAGCTTTACTTGGTCCATACTCAAGTACCATCAGTGTGCTGGTCGTCAGTCCTCGCACCTTCACCAAAGCCAAACTGAACAGAACAGAGATGCAGAGCTTGTGAAAACAGAAGCTGATGGAGAGGACTGTGGAGTACCAGGACCATTCAGGAACTCCGATACAGAGGGACATTTACAACCAGCGACTGATGACAAGACTTCACACTTATCTGAACTTGGAACTGATTTGAACGAGACCAGTGAACCTCAGTCGGGTTTAAACCCTGTGCAAAACAATGAAATAATTAGAAGTGGTCAGGAATGTAATACTGATAAAACATCAACTAGATTTTCTGAATGTGCTTCAAGCTCTGACCACAAGGAAACCCAAACGGCAAAGAAACAATTTAGTTCAGTTTTCAGAACAAAATTTGCTCAAAGGAAAAGTCTTACACTGCCCATGATAGGTAAACAATACAGCTGCAGTGTTTGCGACAAAAGCTTTACTTGGTGGTCTCAGCTCAAAAACCATCAGTGTGTTGGACCTCAGTCCTCACGGCTTCATCAAAGACTAACTGAACAGATGGAAACGGAAGCTGATGTAGAGGACTGTGGAGGACCAGAACTAGCCAGGAACTCAGATCCAGATAGAGATTTAGAACTAAATGCTGATGACAAGACTGAAAACTCTTCTCATACCGAAACAGATAGAAATTGTGATTGGGAGGAGACCAGGGAACCTCCGTCAGGTTCAAACCCTCTGCCCAGGGAAGTACCTGTAAGGGACGTGGAATGTAAAACTAGAAAAACATCCAGGAGCTCCACATGGGCTACAAGCTCTAGCCTTAAGGGACGTCTGCAGAAACACAATGGACTACAAAAAGATGAGAAACCATTTAGCTGCTCAGTTTGTGGTAAAAGATACACCTTGAAGAGCTCCTTAACGCGTCATATGATACTTCATTCAGAAGAAAAAGGCTTCAGCTGCTCAGTTTGTAAAAACACTTTTCTATGTAGAGAAGATGTGGTGAGACACAAGAAAATTCACACAAGGAAGAAGAAACAATACAGCTGCAGTGTTTGTGGCAAAAGATTCACCAGGCCATCCCAGCTCAAAAACCATCAGTGTGTTGGTCGTCAGTCCTCACAGGTTCATCAAGGACAAATAGAAGAGAACAGAGATGTACAGCTTTTGAAAACAAAAGCTGATGGAGAAGACTGTGGAGGACCAGAACCAGCCAGGAACTCGCATCCAGATAGACATTTACAACCAGATACTGATGACAAGACTGAAAACTCTTCTGATCCTGAAACTGATAACAATTGTGATTGGGAGGAGACCAGGGAACCTCAGTCAGGTTCAAACTCTCTGCAAAAACATGAAGTACCTGGACGTGACCAGGAATGTAGTACTGGAACAACATCAAGGAGCACCTCTGAATGTGCTGCAAACTCTGGCCACAAGGGACGTCTGCAGAAACACAATGGATGCCAAAAAGGAGAGAAACCATTCAGCTGCTCAGTTTGTGGTAAAAGATACGCCTTGAAGAGCTCCTTAACGCGTCATATGATACTTCATTCAGAAGAAAAAGGCTTCAGCTGCTCAGTTTGTAAAAACACTTTTCTATGTAGAGAAGATGTGGTGAGACACAAGAAAATTCACACAAGGAAGAAGAAACAATACAGCTGCAGTGTTTGTGGCAAAAGATTCACCAGGCCATCCCAGCTCAAAAACCATCAGTGTGTTGGTCGTCAGTCCTCACAGGTTCATCAAAGACAAATAAAAGATAACAGAGATGCAGAGCTTGTGAAAACAAAAGCTGATGGAGAGGTCTGTGGAGGACCAGAACCAGCCAGGAACTCGGATCCAGATAGACCTTCACATTCAGCTGCTGATGACAAGATGTTACCCGCATCTGAACCCCGGACCAGTTTGGAAGGAGAGCCGCTTCGAGGGCTGGAGGAGGCTGATATCATCAAGTTCCCATTTAGTCCTGTCTCTGTGAAGAGTGAAGAAGACGATGAAGAGAAACCTCAGTCCCCACAGCTTCATCAAAGACTCACTGAACAGATGGAAACAGAAACTGATGGAGAGGACTGTGGAGGACCAGAACCAGCCAGGAACTCGGATCCAGATAGACCTTCACATTCAGCTGCTGATGACAAGATGTTACCCGCATCTGAACCCCGGACCAGTTGGGAAGGAGAGCCGCTTCGAGGGCTGGAGGAGGCTAATATCATCAAGTTCCCATTTAGTCCTGTCTCTGTGAAGAGTGAAGAAGACGATGAAGAGAAACCTCAGTCCTCACAGCTTCATCAAAGACTCACTGAACAGATGGAAACAGAAACTGATGGAGAGGACTGTGGAGGACCAGAACCAGCCAGGAACTCGGATCCAGATAGACCTTCACATTCAGCTGCTGATGACAAGATGTTACCCGCATCTGAACCCCGGACCAGTTGGGAAGGAGAGACGCTTCGAGGGCTGGAGGAGGCTGATATCATCAAGTTCCCATTTAGTCCTGTCTCTGTGAAGAGTGAAGAAGACGATGAAGAGAAACCTCAGTCCTCACAGGTTCATCAAAGACTCACTGAACAGATGGAAACAGAAACTGATGGAGAGGACTGTGGAGGACCAGAACCAGCCAGGAACTCGGATCCAGATAGACCTTCACATTCAGCTGCTGATGACAAGATGTTACCCGCATCTGAACCCCGGACCAGTTGGGAAGGAGAGACGCTTCGAGGGCTGGAGGAGGCTGATATCATCAAGTTCCCATTTAGTCCTGTCTCTGTGAAAGTGAAGAAGACGATGAAGAGAAACCTCAGTCCTCACAGGTTCATCAAAGACTCACTGAACAGATGGAAACAGAAACTGATGGAGAGGACTGTGGAGGACCAGAACCAGCCAGGAACTCGGATCCAGATAGACCTTCACATTCAGCTGCTGATGACAAGATGTTACCCGCATCTGAACCCCGGACCAGTTGGGAAGGAGAGCCGCTTCGAGGGCTGGAGGAGGCTGATATCATCAAGTTCCCATTTAGTCCTGTCTCTGTGAAGAGTGAAGAAGACGATGAAGAGAAACCTCAGTCCCCACAGCTTCATCAAAGACTCACTGAACAGATGGAAACAGAAACTGATGGAGAGGACTGTGGAGGACCAGAACCAGCCAGGAACTCGGATCCAGATAGACCTTCACATTCAGCTGCTGATGACAAGATGTTACCCGCATCTGAACCCCGGACCAGTTGGGAAGGAGAGCCGCTTCGAGGGCTGGAGGAGGCTGATATCATCAAGTTCCCATTTAGTCCTGTCTCTGTGAAGAGTGAAGAAGACGATGAAGAGAAACCTCAGTCCCCACAGCTTCATCAAAGACTCACTGAACAGATGGAAACAGAAACTGATGGAGAGGACTGTGGAGGACCAGAACCAGCCAGGAACTCGGATCCAGATAGACCTTCACATTCAGCTGCTGATGACAAGACTGAAAACTCTTCTGATCCTGAAACTGATGACAGTTGTGACTGGGAGGAGACCAGGGAACCTCAGTCAGGTTCAAACTCTCTGCAAAAACATGAAGTACCTGGACGTGACCAGGAATGTAGTACTGGAACAACATCAAGGAGCACCTCTGAATGTGCTGCAAACTCTGGCCACAAGGGACGTCTGCAGAAACACAATGGATGCCAAAAAGGAGAGAAACCATTCAGCTGCTCAGTTTGTGGTAAAAGATACACCTTGAAGAGCTCCTTAACGCGTCATATGATACTTCATTCAGAAGAAAAAGTTTTCAGCTGCTCCGTTTGTAAAAACACTTTTCTATGCAGAGAAGAGTTTAAGAAGCACATGAAAATTCACAAAAGGAAGAAGAAACAATACAGCTGCAGTGTTTGTGGCAAAAGATTCTCCAGGCGGTCCCAGTTTAAAAAACATCAGTGTGTTGGTCGTCAGTCCTCACAGGTTCATCAAGGCCAAACTGAAGAGACCAGAGATGAGGAGCTTGTGAAAACAGAAGCTGGTGGAGAGGTCTGTGGAGGACTGGAGCCAGCGAGGAACTCTGATACAGATCTACAACCATCGACAAATGACAAGACTTCACCCTTCTCTGGACCTAGGACTGATTTGGAGGAGAACAGGGAACCTCAGTCAGGTTCAAACCCTGTGCAAAATAATACTCAATGCAACACTGGTAAGAAACCATTTAGCTGCGCAGAGTGTGGGAAACTGTTTTGCAAAAAATCTAAAATGAAGACGCACATGAAAAATCACACAAGAGATGAACTATTTAGTTGTTCAGTTTGCAGTAAAGTATTTAATCGGAGGATACATCTGAAAGAACACAAGGCAACCCACACAAAGGATTACAACTGCAGTGTTTGTGGCAAAAGATTCACCAGGCGGTCCAAGTTTATAAAACATCAGTGTGTTGACCGTCAGTCCTCACAGCTTCATCAAGGCCTACCAGAAGAGAACAGAGATGAGGAGCTTGTGAAAGCAGAAGCTGGTGGAGAGGACTGTGGAGGACTGGAGCCAGCGAGGAACTCGGATACAGATTTACAATCATCGACAAATGACAAGACTTCACCCTTCTCTGGACCTAGGACTGATTTGGAGGAGAACAGGGAACCTCAGTCAGGTTCAAACCCTGTGCAAAACAATACTCAATGCAACACTGGTAAGAAACCATTTAGCTGCGCAGAGTGTGGGAAACTGTTTTGCAAAAAATCTAAAATGAAGACGCACATGAAAAATCACACAAGAGATGAACTATTTAGTTGTTCAGTTTGCAGTAAAGTATTTAATCGGAGGATACATCTGAAAGAACACAAGGCAACCCACACAAAGGATTACAACTGCAGTGTTTGTGGCAAAAGATTCACCAGGCGGTCCAAGTTTAAAAAACATCAGTGTGTTGACCGTCAGTCCTCACAGCTTCATCAAGGCCTACCAGAAGAGAACAGAGATGAGGAGCTTGTGAAAGCAGAAGCTGGTGGAGAGGACTGTGGAGGACTGGAGCCAGTGAGGAACTTGAACAAAGAGGGACATTTACAACCAGCGACTGATGACAAGACTTCACAGTTCTCTGAACCTAAGGCTGATTTGGAGGAGACCAGGGAGCCTCAGTCAGGTTCAAACCCTCTGCAAAGCAATGAAGTACCTCTGCAGGAACACATTGGACTTCAAACACCAGAGCTCCCACACATAAAAGAGAAGTCCAGCCCCAGCATGGACCAGGAGGACCCACCAGAGCGCCCGCTCATTAAAGAGGAACAGGATGAACTCTGGACCAGTCAGGAGGGAAAGCAGCTTCAAGAGCATCAAAGACTAACTGAGCACATGGAAACAAAAACTGATGGAGATGACTGTGGAGGACCAGAACCAGCCAGGAACTCCGATCCAGATGGACATTTTCAACCTGAGGTTGATGACAAGATGTCCCACTCTGAACCTAAGACTGATGACAGTTGTGATTGGGAGGAGACCAGGGAGCCTCAGTCAGGTTCAAAGCCTTCACAAAACAATGAAGTACCTGTAAGTGATCAGGAATGTAGTACTGTAAAAACATCAAGTAGCTCCTCTGAATGTGCAACAAGCTCTGGCCACAAACCCAATGAAGTACCTGTAAGTGATCAGGAATGTAGTACTGTAAAAACATCAAGTAGCTCCTCTGAATGTGCAACAAGCTCTGGCCACAAACCCAATGAAGTACCTGTAAGTGATCAGGAATGTAGTACTGTAAAAACACCAAGTAGCTCCTCTGAATGTGCAACAAGCTCTGGCCGCAAGGGACGTCTGCAGAAACAGAATAAAGTCCAACAAGAGATGCCATTTACTTGCTCAGTTTGTGGTAAGGGATACTTAGGGAAGAACTCCTTAACGGGACATATGAGAATTCATCGAGAAGTAAAAGATTTCAGCTGCTCAGATTGTGATAAAAAGTTTCATTCAAGAAACAGTCTGTCCAAACACAAGAAAAACGACCACGCTGGGGAGATGCCGTTTACTTGTTATATCTGTGGTAAAAGATTCGTACTACAGAAACAGCTGAGTCGACACATGAATGTAGGGCTGCATTTAACAGTTCTTTCTTAATTAATAAATCAGAAGACTGTTTTTGTTATTACTCAATTAAAGTTGGAGTAGGTGCCAATTCAGAAAATATGTTTTCATGATCTGTTAGCTGTCCGTTCTGTGTGCGTGCTTAAACAATATCTGGCGTTTGTTTTCAAAGTGGGAAACCACCGCACATGTTCTGTGTCAGTAACGTTAACACGAGGGTTTCATGACCGTCGCAGTCTGTCAGGGTCTTCCTGACGCTTTAGTTCTATACTTCAGACAGAAGATTTTTTTTCCTCTTTCAGCTCTGTGACCATATTTACTTTGACAAGTTAGTGCAACTCTTTCAGGATAAAGATTCATTTTGAAATTATATATTTTTTTAAACATATTTTACTGGACATTTTCGCAGCTTCAACATGTCTTCAGTGGTTTTTAAACAGTGTTTGTTAATAATTCATTTTCTGTTGATTTATGACATGAAACCATTGTCAACATTTTAAGTTTCTGATTAAAATGTGTAATGCTGTAATGACTGTGTTGAACTATCATTTGGAAAACCAGATAGTTATGGAAATTACGTCATTTATAGATCATCTGTAGCAGTAACTGTAAATGATCCAAATGCAACGTATGAAAGTGAGTAATGGTTGCTAAATTATGGCAACATAGTGACATGTAATATAATTTAATTGATTTTAAGTACTACAATTTTGAGTGAAAAGTATTAATTTAATTTAACTAAATAAAGTACGTGATAATAAAAGCAACGGTTATTATCGATTATTGCAAGTAATAAGTAAGTCATCCTAAATCAATTTCACAAAAAAAGTGATTTATATTTACTAAATATCTGGGTAAAAATTATTTTAATTCATTAATAAACACATTGTTGCTTAATTCAACACATTTACACGGCTATAGGGTAGTGTGGGATAAGACGCCCCCCTATGCTCAATGTCTATTTGTCTAATATTTTATAGGGTTTTTTGTATCTTTGAGATGGCCATGCTTAGGTTAACATAATATAAAGTAAAATAAATGCCTACAGTTGAGAAATTGTTTAGAATTTAATCAAATGTAAATTTTAGGAGAATGGCATTTTCGCAGCTAGTGGGGAAAGATGGTATTTCTCAGTCTTACTCAGGTTGCTGGAACTTCATTAGCAGAACGTCTGAGGTCAAATATGTGCATGTTAGCTAGAAATGACGATCAACCCCAAACATACTAATCTAGCATTTTACTACTTTAAACAAAAACTATAAAAATCTTTCACTCTAAACAATTGCATAACTTATGTTAAGGTTCGCCTTACTGTAAATACACACTATATATATATATATATGTGTGTGTGTGTGTATTAATAGTAAATTGAACACAATAAAAAAAAATTGTAACAGTTTTTTCCCCCTGGAAAGTCGTCTTAAAAACTTGAAACTTAAAATCTTATTTTTGGGGAAACACCCACAACAACAGATGGCGCCAAATATCTGCTAAGCGCATGTTACCCTCCAGACTGAAGTGTGTCACCGTCCCACTGAAACATGGAGCAATCGTGCCGAACAAAGTGGCAACAAAGTAGTTTAAGTTAACGACAGCTGAGGAGGAGTTATGATTTTAAGGTATATTGTTGTTGTTTTTTAACATCTTTTAAATAAAATTAATTAAATATCTTTCTAAATGAAATGGTCACATTTAAATTACATTGTAGCCTACATATTATTTATCAGTAATTTAAATGTAACCATTTGCACCTTTTTAAAATTTTCTTCAGTGTGTTTTTGTTACAATTTTATTCAAATAAAATGCTTTTCTTTATAAAGACACGATTTGGTATTAAAGTATTTTTCCTGAAAATAGTCGGACTAAAATGGTAATTGTTTACATTGGTATCACATGACTGTTCAGTAATGCTGAATGTCACTTTGTGTCAGTGTTTGCTTAAGTTGTTTCGACAGATCACCAGGAACAGCAGGTAAACATGTTGTGTGCAACTTTTTTTAAACATGTTTATCCAACAGTTTTCCAGTGGTTTAGTGCAAAATACCAACAATATCAGACAGAGAGGCTGTAAGAACACAAAGACAAACCATGTATGTGTACAATTGGTATACAACGGTTTGTGATTCACATTAACAAAGGTTTAATTATTTAATCTGTGCTTGAACTGTTTGGAAAATTTACCCATGCTGGACTACTTACAAAGAATGTTTTGGGATTATGAAAAGGCTCAGTACAGATTATTTTTATGTGAATTAAGGTCTAGGCCTGTTAGTGCATTTAAATTACAACGTTTTTAAACTGTCAGGGCCATCATGCTTTTCAAACGACTGGGGGTCTGGGACAAGGTCAAGTAATCCCATTTTGTGGAATCACGAGGTATCAGCTGCCTGAGCCAATATTGAGTCAAAAACACAATGTCACACATATCAAATGAGTTTGTTTAGTTGAATTTGTGTAAAAAAAAGAACACTTGCAGCACTGAAACTGAATAATTTTTCTTTCACTTGACTTGATCTGAGGATCTGCCCAAAATTTAATTAAGTGGAAGCAAGTTGGGAACATCAGCGCAGCACGAACAATCTTTATGACGTCTTTATATTTAATAGTGTCACTTTTATAAAGAGTAAAATAACCTTCAAAAGCCCAAATACTGAAAACTGAACTCATCAGGTTTGCAGCTCCTACGCAGTGAGCAGTTAACCAGGTGACAGTTTCAATTCTCTTTCATTTTGCAAGGATTCGTTTTATTAAGCTAGTAGCTTATTGTTGAGGCTGTTCACTTTTGGGGACAGCTTTTGACAAACCAGCTCGAGGAGGAGTTTCTGGAAGACTTCAAGCGTGCACCTGAGCTCCTTGGGATAGGCAAGATTTGATGTACAAAGCCAACAACCATGGAACAAACCCTCTGAAAGTTACCCAGAGCAGTCAGAACTTTCACTCCCTCTACAACGATACCGATGTCGGCAGGACCCTCTGGCGTAGTAGTCCGGCAGATGTTGAAAGACCTCAGCCTCCTCAGAAAGACAGCTCTGGCCCTTCCTGTAGAGGGCGTGAGTGTTCTTGGTCCAGTCCAGTTTATTGTCAATGACCCTCTGGATGGAAACAGGGGTCACTGGAGCCTTGGTTCTCCTTAGATCCACATCCAGCTCCTTAGTCCTTTGTTAGAGCTTACTTAATCTTAAACTTTACAAATTCAATAGGGACCTCGCACGGTTCGTGCTTGGTAAGTAAGCTCAATTTTGGGGGCCTAAACATACTCGAAAACTCACCAAACTTTGCAAACATGTCAGAACTGGTGAAAAATTTCGTATTTTATGGGTTTCGCGCAAAATGACTCGCTAGCGCCACCTAGAAAATTGGAAAAAATTAGCCCCTCGTTCAGGTTCAACCTACATGCACGAAATTTTCTGGGGACATGTCAAGACGCACAAAAAAGCCTCAAGAACCCATAGCCTAAAGTCAACAGGAAGTCGGCCATTTTGAATTTTACGGCCATTTTTGGATGATTTACACACTTCGTACTTTAACGAACTCCTCCTAGGGATTTAGTCGGATCGACGTCAAATTTCTGCTGTGCCTTCTAAAGGCATTGACGATGAAAAGTTGTGCTATTTGCGAGTTTTTGTCAATGGGCGTGTCCGTGGCGTCGATGATTCGACATGAACCAGGAAGTTATTGTAACTTCAGGGTATATGCTCACATCTGCACCAAACTGTACATGTCATGTCCTGAACACATGTGCGGAGTGTTCTTATTCATAGTTTTCACATGACCTCACATTCCATGAAAAACGCTCCCTTGGAGGGCAAAAAAGACGTTATTTTCCACTGCCAGGAAGCAAGTGATACACTATAAATGAGTTTTTTACTTTTTCATTGCCAAAATGCTGGATGGTAGTGTACCTTCTGATGCACAAATAGAGGAAGAGACAAGCCTGAGCTGTGTTAGGTGAGGGATTCCCCACAAGATAAACGTAAACATTGCCGCGGCGGCAGGGACCTGGCAGCGGGTGCTTTAACAGGGATCCTATGTGCCCAACACTTGCAGTTTGTGTTCATATATTTCTTTTTCTTAAGTTAAGAGGTGATCCAAATAAATGTAACTGCTTTTGCAGCGTCTCTAAGGGGGAGTCGCGGCGCGAGCCGTTGTGTTGGTCTGTTGTTTTTGCCCTCCAGGTAGCCTACCGCAAATGTCACGTGACTGCAAACTATGAATCGACAGGGAGGAACACTTCTAACTATTGTTACAATATGACAACATAAAATACACCAGGTTAGTGCTGAATGCAAAAGATGCTCTTTATGTTATACAGCCTAATAATTTGTCGTCAGCAGCTGTTTGCACTGTTTTTTCACGATTAAATGAGCTACATTGGTGTGATGCGCGAATTGGCTGAATAATCATGTAGGCCTACGCACGAATCATCCACCCACACTCAACCCAACTAATTATTTTCTCGGATTTTTCCCACCTCTACCAGTCCTTTTAACTTTCCAGGTGATTTCTTTATTGTGTTGATGTATGAGTGTTTTTGTTTAATGGTTTACTTTTAGAATTAGAAAGGAGTCTGTCAGTCATTTTAAACGTTTCCATCGGCGCTGTAATGTCACAACAAATAGGCTATCCTGGGACATGAAGCTAATCTGCACAGACAGCTGTTTAATTCACACAAATATCCCGCTGTATATTATTTGACCAGAACAAAGTATTACTTATTTATCAAACGGATAAGAAGTTCTTCTTCCATGTAGGCCTACATTTACTAATTTGGCAGACACTATTATGCAGAAAATTCACCTGAAGAAGAATGTTCTTTCTACGATTCTAACCCAGACCTCCTGAACCCAGACCTCCACTGCCGCTGTACTACTGTGTAGCTGTAGCAACTTCCGTTGTGGCTTTTTGTAATCGTGTTGTGGCATGATGTCATCTTGTGAAAATCTGCTCCTGTTTTAGCCCCTCCTACCTGCCTGCTGCCATTACAGGTGCAGCTCTGACTGATTCAAGGAAACAGCTTTCTTTTAAAAAAGTCTTTTCTCTGCTTGGGGCGAGTGAGAGTCTGCTTCATCAACACTTTGGACTCTTTGAAGAAACTGTAAGTTGCTTTGTTTGATAATTTAACTACAAGTTTGTCTTTAGTCTCTTTAGAGTCTTCATCAGCACTTTGGACTTTGTCTTTGGTCCCTTTAAGGTTTGTTTCTTGCTGTCTAATGTTTGTAGTAGTTGTTCACTTCTTATTATCATTAGAGAGTTTGAAGAACTCTTATGTTAGAAGAGAAATCTCCATGTTGTTGGATTATTGATTTACTGGAATCAAACAATCTGATGAACAGCTGATGTTTATTTCCTTTCTTCAGATGTTAGAAAACAAACCACCTACATTGTGCTTTTCACATTGTCTTCTCCACCAGCATAAAGTCAGACACGACAGTATACCAATGTTTCCTGTCAAACCTGAAGGGGAAGATTTTTTTCTCTTTTATATCCTCGATCAGGCCACAAGTTGATTTTTTTTTTTTTTAAGCTGTC